TAGCATATGTCTGACAAAGATAGAAACAATCGATGTTCGAGTGTCGATCCATGGCAAAATATTCCCTGATCGCGTTCTGCTTGTCACAGGCCACGTCGTCGAACACGAATATCGAATCAGGAAGCGCCTCGCTCGGTGGCACGACGTCGCTATTGTTTGAGAACGCGTGATAGCTGATCTCGTCCATCGACTCGAGCAGTTCCGCCAGATATCGATATTTTGGTTGTTGCAGAGATTTCGAATAGACGTACACATTTTCAAAGCGTGCGCCATGCGGACTTTCGAGCATGCTTATCAACACGTTCGTTTTACCGCAATTGGAGGGGCCGCAAATGATGCAACGTATCGTGTTCGGTAGTAGAGGGCCGTGTCTGCGCACCCTCCCGACCGCGTCGCCCGAGATTCGTCGAGCCTTACGATCGAGATTGAGCACTCCTATAGCTGGCGACCGTCGAACGAATCGCATTTACTCGCGCTCGCTTCGAGAAGACGCGACCGATAATTGCTCCACTTATACTCGACGGCGATTCGATCGCGCACAGTGATCGGTATGTTTCCCCTATTAACGGACAAACGTGATATTCTCAATCTAACCGCTCAACAGTTGTAACTTATTCCGAAGTTCGTTCTCGTGCGTGATTTCGATAGATACGTGGAGCTACTGTGGGACAGATTACCCGATCATCTGAGAGCGGATCCCGAGGTACAACGTTGTCGCGTGTGTCTGGAACATTATAATCGTCCGTGGCAACAATCGCATATAGACGGTCCTGCGCCTCTTATTAAAAATTGTAACGAATGTTTAGCGGCGTGGGACTACTCAATGCAGCGATAAACGCGTTTCCCTTCGAACTACATATTCCCGGGTATCAATTTTGTGGGCCCGGTACCCATCTCGCGAAACGATTGGCGCGCGGCGATCGAGGCGTAAATCCGTTGGATGCGGCGTGCCGCGAGCACGATATCGCCTATTCGCGAAATAAGAAACTCGCCGATCGCCACGACGCCGACCGAGCTCTCGCCGAGAAAGCGCGCGAACGTATAACAGCCGGAGATTCCACCTTCGGCGAGAGAGCTGCCGCGACCGCCGTATGGGCTGCTATGAAAACAAAGACAAAACTAGGCATGGGTTTGAGAAAGAAGAGGAGGAAGACGACAACGAAGAGGAGTATACTTCCAACAATGAAACGTGGAGGCTTGTTACCCATTTTTCCGATATTAGGCGCGCTCGGTTCTTTAATCGGTGGCGCGGCGGGTGTCGCGAAGGCAGTAAACGCCAGTAAAACTGCTCGGCGTCAACTGGAGGAGTTGCAACGTCACAATCGAGCGATGGAGGGTCACGGATTGCATCTAGCGCCTTACAAACGTGGCAGCGGTGTAACGAGAAGAACGAAAAAAAAAATCATGGAAAGAAACGTTAGGATCGCTCAGGTTATCGCTCTCCGGCATCACAACGAACGAACAATTGAACCGTTCGGCGCGTCGTCTACGAATACCCTTCTTCAGAGGAGTGTTTATGCGTGACGCATTACCATTAAAGGCGCGACGTAACGAGAGTGGCATCGTGAATCTCGACGACTCGATGGGCTCGGGTATTCATTGGGTCGCCTATGCGAAGAGGGGAAACGACGCGATTTACTTCGACAGTTTCGGTAATCTTCGACCGTCGAGGGAACTCGAGAGATATCTCGGCGGTGTAAATATAACGTACAATCACGGAGCGTATCAGACGTACGATCAGAACATTTGCGGTCAGTTGTGCCTGCGATTTCTCTCGAACATCGGTCGCGATGTCGCTGAGTCTTTCGTTCACCGGTAGGAGTAGCGTTCTCACGGCGTGCTATTTTCCCGCTTTAGATCTGAGCGACGACGATTACGAGTTAGGTCTCACGAATTTCGAGACATACAACACTATACCGAATGTCGATTCCACGAATAATAAGTTCTATTACGACGACAAAACGATCGTGATTCCCGAAGGTTCGTACGAATTAAGTGCGATAGACAGATATCTAAACGCCGCTATCT